TGGTGAAAGGTCAATTCTGATGTTATTTCTTCCCTTGCCAAGTTGTAGCAAACACTCAGCCCAAAGGTGTTGCAGGCAGGAGAAAACAAAGGCTGAATTAACCTCTGATGGGAACAGGAAAAGTCATTTCAGGCTCCTTTGAGGATACTACTGAAATCCCTCTAGGAAACAACAGAGATCAAAGCAGAGCAGAGAGCATCTGCCCAGGAGCTGCAGCTCCCTGCTCCAGAGGAGGATGAAGGAGGGCACTGGTCCTGGGGGAGGGCAAGGACAGGGGCTGGCACCTGGGGGGTCACAGCACTCATCCTGAAACACAACCAAACCCTGGATCCAAAGGGATTTTATGGAAATCAAGCCATCTAAAGCATCCTGTGACACTTCTCTACGTGAAGCAAAACAAGCAGCATGAAGCACCACCATTTCATAATGACTGCCCCGAAATGCAGAACAACTAATTAAAAGGAAATAAGATAAAAACGCTGAAAAGCAAATAGGAACCGAAAATAAATTGCTCCCAGGTCAGGAAAAGATTATTTACCTGTGACAGAACTATACACACAAACCTCAGACAAGCCAGCGTTGCTTAGGGCAGTTGATAGCTAAACCATTCCCTGCAGAAATATTGGGTTGAAGTACAGAGAAAACAGAATTTCTCCACACACCATAAAGAAAAATAATGTTAGGATGATAAAGTACTTTCTCTTCACTCAAAAATACATTGCTAGATATAAAACTCTAGTAATTGAACCTCATATACAAAGTTTTTAAATCCAGGCCTCTGTAGAAATGTGCTCTAGCAGGACCATGTTTGTTTTCCCTGGCTGCTGCTCGCCCTGGAGAGCCCCCAGCCATTGTGCTCCTGCAGGAGAAGGATTTCCGCTAGTAAACCTGCCAGGGAAACACAACCAGGCATCCCAGGAGCTGTATTTCATTAGGAGAATGGCAAACTCAAGTGCCAGGAGCTGCTGAACAACAAAGCAGACGTGAGCAGCCCAAGGTCTATTAGGTAAAGCTACATTCATTTTAAGACTCTCCATGGGCTGGTCAGGGGAAAGGAGATTTGGGGACTGTTTGTTTAAAGGAAGAGGAAGTCCATATGATTTCTAAAGCTACCATTCCAAGGATGGAATGATTCACACATCCCGAGCCATTTCCCAGACCAGCCAAGGACATGTGTATCCCTGCAGAGCCCTCGTGTGCAGCTCCTGGCTGATGCCTTGGCTTACATCTGCTCTTTGAACTTCCATTTGCAGGGGATATTTCTGGGTGTTTTCACCTGTAACCCAGCTCTGTGGATTAGGTTTTTGCACGTTGCCCCTCTGCTACATCCACAGAAGCCACAGGCCCCGTGTGCCAACCCTGCTTCCATGTGCCACATTTCACAGCCCTCCTGCTCGTGTCACAGAGGGCCTCAGCACAGACCAGTTCCCCCTCACGTTGCTGCACAAACACTAAACACACATTTCCGCTGCCAGATAAACCAAACTGGGTCACTTTGTTTCTCTACAGCAACTCCTGATTCCATCTGACTGTCCCACCACAGCCCAACACCCACACAGCGCTCACACGAGCTCTGTCTCCAGCAAATAATCTAAACAGGCTTTCCCAAGAAATGCCACGTTCAGCAGTAATTTCTTCTGCTGTAATTTATTTAGGTAGAAAAAAGACATTTGAGAACTGTCAGGTCATTCTTACCTGTTGGGTCGGGTCCTTCCTCATGTCCCTGTGGCACAGCACTGTGGGCGCTCCCACCCACATCCTGCAGGCAGCACAGGACTGGGATCCTTGTGCAGGTAAGGAAACAGTACCACGGCTCCTGTTTAGCCCCTCTGGGTCTCACACCCTCTCTGATGGAGCTCCTGGGGCAGGTGGTATCCATCCCCTCCTCTGGCTCATCAGCACTGCCAGCTGCCCCAGCCCCTCAGCCCTGCCCAGCACTGCATCACCCGGCTGGGCAGGTCAGCAGCTCCCTCGGGGGGTTTCCTCGGGGGGTTTGGAAAGCTGGGCTGTGCCAGGTTCAGTCCTCACCTTTGCCATCAGAAAGAAGGAATCAAGGCAACAACAGGTGGGCTGTGCCTGTTCCTGAACAGCACTCACCAAACAGACCAGCTCTCTGGGAAGGAAACAGAATTGCTAAGACTGAGCCTTGGAGCAGCTGAGAGCACACAGTTTATTTCAGAAGTCAGCAGGCAAGCTGTTGGATTGCTTTATTTATCAAATTACTCAATTATTTCAGCTGGAAGGTTATTCATTAGACCTTTCATCCTGGGATTTTTATGTGACTGTGTCAGGAAGTGAGGCAAGAGCACAGGACCGGACAAAGCAGCAGTTAAATGTTCCGCTTCACTTATGCAGGCCAACATCACGGTAAGACACAGAAAGCTGAGAGGGAGATGAGTCTAACAGGCACCTTGCCCTGCAATCAGTCACCTGCAATGCCCTGCCCTCAGGTGTTCCTGTGCTCAGCTCAGACCCTGATGCTGCTGATCCAAAAGCTGCATTGAACAACCATGTAAAAGTACACTTGTTGAAGTGTGTGGTGCTGCCCACCTCAGGTGCTGCCCACAGACCTTGGGGGGCTGCTTGGGTGACAACACTTCACCAGCCAAAGGGGAGTGTTGGGCTGGCACAGAGACTTCCCAGAGTGTAAAGTTCCTCCTGGGCTCCAGGAAGATTATTGAGCTTAAATATTTTTAGGAAGTAGAACCCAAATTGAAACCAAGCAGAAGTTAGCTAAATTAATGTCTCCATTGCTGCCAACATCAGCAGTTACACTTTGAATTGCCATGTGCCAGTGACACGGTCAGACACACCAGTGGGACTCAGAGGGTGTCAGCTCACCCCAGATGTCCAGGGCTGAACAGGCAGCCAGTCCTGGTACAGCACAGTGCTGAACCCACGGCCCTGTGGGCACTCCTGCTCTGCTGGAGAGAGCTTAGACATCATTTTTAAAATAATGCAGAGCGGGAGCTGCTGTGGCACAGAGCACTGTGGAGAGCTGGGGGGCAAGGAGCCTGTCCCCAGAGCAGCACCACCGAGGCAGCGGCAGGGCAAGAGGGGATGGGAACAAAGGCAAATCCTGGAAATACCCTCTGAAGGTCAGGAAAAACCCTGCAGGACGTTTTACACATTCCGAGCTGCAGACAAACTGAGGTTTTCCTGGGTTTGGAATGAATAAAAAAGCAGATCCATGTGTTTTCCAGTGGGTGTGGCGCTCGTTGTGATTTCCCTCCAAAGGCAGGTTCCCACATCTCCATCCCCTCCAACCAGGCATCTGCTGGAGAACATATCTCCCTCTCAAACTGACTTGTCAGGAGCCCAAAGCAATGGCTGAAAGCAGCCCATGTCCTGGCCCTGTGTTTCCCGGGAAAGTGGCTGCTGGGCCGGGCAGAGCCGAGGGCAGAGCCGAGGGCAGAGCTGAGGGCAGAGCTGAGGGCAGTGCGGCCCCTCGCCCTCCCCACTGCTCGTCCCAGGAACAGTTATTTTTAGATCACTTACTGCCACTAAAACATACTTGGACTATTTTCAGGCTGACTCACAGCTGAATTCCTGTTCTGGAGGCATTTCCAGTCCCCACCCAAAATACGGGAAGACAAAACAAAATGAAACCAAAAAAATCCTGGCTGGCCCCGAACCAAAGCCCAGAGCACGTGTCCAGCTGTGCCGGTGTCCAGAGTCCAAGCATGGCTCTGCCCAGGGGGAGACCTGCACCCACAGCCCATCACCCACACCCAGCTCAGACCTGCTTAGCTTAGCTCAGGTGAAACAGATTGTGTTTTGGAGCTTTCTTAATTCAAATTCTTTCATGTACTACTCAGGAATAGAAGAATTAAGCAGACAGGAGCCGGCATGTGGAACTCAACATAGAGTTTTTTATTCTATTTGATCACATTTTTAATTGCAAGACCAGCAACACCACAGCAAACTGTGTAATGACCAGAAATTTCACCCATAAGTTTGGGGAAATGGAGGTCATGGAGACTTTAGAGACTGCCACTAAACCAAAGGTACAAAGCAGGGCTGTCTCAGAGCAGGGGGGGAGAGATCAGAGGCCAGCAGGTCTCTCTGGAGCTCCCCAGCTAAAGAGAAGGTGCTGTGATGTGACTCATGCAGGTGCTGGGGCAATAACAGCATCTCTGTCAGGGAACCAGGTGATGGAGTGCTGGGAGCTCTGCTCAGCAGTGCTGGGCTCCCAGGGGCACAGGCACCAGGCCTGACTTTGCACCTTTCTGATGACGGATCTTTGGTATATGTTGACAGAAGGAGCATATATTTGGAGATGATTATCTGTGGGTACCCAGCCAACAGGGAACAGCTGTGTGGGTACATGCCACGCTGGTGTGTACACAGGCAGGTATCCTTAGTGACTCAGCCACTCGGAGCAGATGACTCTGCTCACCTCTGTGGACACAGCAAAACAACTAATTGAGCATATTAATGCACCAGAACTGTCACTACACATTGTTTATGAAGAGAAATCACCTCCTGGCCATCGATACCCAGGCATGGGATGCCACGTGCTGTACAGGCACATCTCTGGAGAGGGCAGTGGCAGCCAGCGTGCCCGTGGCTCCAGCCCCTGCCTCAGGGCTTGGACTAGACTCGCTGGGCAGGACAGCAGAGCAGGACCCAGGCAAGGCCAGGGCAGTGACACCTGGATGTTGTTGGGCTGGCAGTGCCTCCTGTTCCAGCAAACCCAGCCTTGAGCAGGATTACTAAACTGGCAAAGTAACTTGAGCTTCTGCATGGCTGTTTCTGTGCTAAAAGAACCAAAAGCAAAACTGTTTCTTCTGGACTGCTGCCAAGAGCCCAGAGTGACCCCCCTGGCGGGCACAGCACTGCTGCTGGGAACCAGCCCCTGCTCTGGTGACGCTGTGACGGGACCGTGCCGAGGCACAGGACCGTGTGACACGGACCAAGGCAGAGGGTGAGGCTTCGGGGACACTCCAGAGATCAGCAAATAAAGTGAAACAACACAAAGGAGACTTTCTCTATTTTTTTAAGCAGGATGCAGGGTTTATTATCTGGGGCTGCTATCTCTGGCACAGTGAAGCAGTTGAAGATGATCGACACAGAAGAGAGAGCTGAACCCAGGGTGACCTGGATGGGACCCAGCGGGTGTCCTGTTCCCTGTGCTGTGGAGCAGCGAGTCCCCAGGCAGGGCTGGGGGCTCCTCATCTCCTGCAGGGATGCAGGCAGGGAAGGGGGCTGCCTACACCCTGTCCCCACTCCCTCCAGGCAGCTCCTTCTCCAGCCCAAACTCCTACAGGGTCATTATTCCATTGATCTCTTCCCCCTTTCCATCTGAACGTGGGACAGTCCACTGGAGAATAAGCTGTGCTGCTGATCGATCCCACAGGGATGTCAGGCAGGGACTGGCTCCTTGTTAGCTCCTGGTTCATTAGCAGAACTGCTAATGAAGTCTGAACTCTAAGGTCCAAATTCTGCCTCAGGCCATACATTCTGCTGGCACTTATAGACAACTACATTAAAGTTAGGTAGCTCCATACTCTGCTAAGTGACTGTGACGATGGCCCTGTGAGCTCGCCTGGCTGTCCTGCTGAGTACAGAGACACATTCGTTTTAGCCCATCCCCGCTCCAGCCCAGCATCACATCATGGCTCACAAAGCAGTTATTTGACAGCAGTGTGTTTTTCCCTCCAAGAGCTGACTTGATGGTCTTTTGTTTACAATATTGATGTGCTGGGGGGTATTGTGCTCTGAGAGCAGGGTCCTCCTGTACTGCTGGGAGTGAGCACCTCTCCTGATCTGCTGGAGGCAGCTCAGCAGCAGGTCTCCTGTACAATAAGGTAACAGGTGCATTTCCAGGAACACAATCAGCTCACACTTATTCTATAGCATAAATAAGGTTATCTTAAAAAAATGGCACATGACTGATTGTTCTCCCTAGGGAGTTCCCTCCCTGCCATCTCCCACTACCAGGGGCTCTCCTTCCTTACTCACTACCCGGTGATCGTCAGCCTGCGCAAGAGCTGCCCTGCTTTGGCCATCAGCATCTCTCTGAAGTGGTCACCCATGAGGAAATAGAAAACAGGATTAATGGCACTATTCAGAAAGGCAACGGGTCTCGTGATGACGTAAATGGTGCTGATGATGCCCTGCGTGCACTCGGGGACGTTCAGGGCCGGGATTCGGGAAGCGAGGCGGACGTTGCGCATGACGTGGTAGGGAGTGAAGAGCAGGGAGAAGATCACCACGGTGAGGACCACGAGGGTGAGAGGCTTCTCGAGGGTCAGGGGAGAGCTGAGTTGCTCACTCCTGTTTTTAAGAAAACGAACCATCTTCACGTAGAAGCAGCACATGATCAAGAGAGGGATGAGGAACCCAAAGACAGTCAGGAACATGCTATAGATGAGGTTTTCTGCGGGGTCTCCAGAGCTCGCGTAATCAAGACACTTGTAATTATTGGCGGGTGTCAGAGGCTCCAGGAAATGCACCAGCGGCAGCAGCTCCAGGATCACCCCGACCCAGATGGCAGTGGACACCAGGACAGCCGTTCTCCTCTGCTGAAGGACGTGGTCCCTGAAGGGGTGTTTTATGAGCATGTACCGGTCAACGCTGACAGCAGTGAGGAAGAGGATGCTGCTGTACAGGTTGGCATGCAGCAGGAATCTGTTGCTGTGGCACAGGATGTCCTGCTTTGCCCACTGATCGTGGGAGTAGCTGTTCACCAATACTGGCAGAGTACAGAGAAATAACAAATCTGATAGGGATAAATTGAACAGGTAGATGTTGCCACTTTTCCATTTTTTCAGGCAGAAGATATAGCCAAACACCGCAATGGTGTTTCCAATGAAGCCTAAAATGAACTCAAGGGTATACATGGTGGAGAGATAATACTTTTCTAGGACTCTGTTTGTCAGCAAGCAGTCACTGGTCTCATTCACAGCCTGGAAAGTTAAAAGGAAAAAAAAAACACAAAAAATGAATAAAAGAACATTTCCATTTTTATATTGTTGCTGTAATTGGTGAATACATCCTCCAGTTTCATTCCAGCCTTCATGGGTTACTTGACCTGAAAGAATGTCTCTCACACATGGAATTTGCACTTTCAGCCACTGACCAGAGTTATGGAGCAAGATGAAAACTTGCCTGAGCAAAGATCTGTGTGAGGAGTTTGAAGTAAGAGCAGCACCTGAAGGCACCTGCCACGACGTGCCAGCTGCTGCTTGGCCAAAGCCACAGCAATGCCAGCAGGCAGGAAAGTGAAGCCAGCCTGTCAGTGCCCTGTCAGTGCCCTGTCAGTGCCCTTGCTGGAAGTCATCTGCCCCCATTACCCAACGCCGGCCCCATGAGCCCTCACTCATCACCGAAGCAGAAGTTCTCTGTCAAGGCTTATGAAGGATGAGCTCATTAGCAGCAGTGCAGACACACTGACAACACTACTCAGAATTCATTAGGAAGCCAGGAGAGATGTGTTTATTAAATTAACAGAATCATTAGTCGTGTGCTTTGCACAGTTTTGCTGGTAACTGGGTACCAGAAAGGCACAGAGGATGGAGTGTCTCTCCTGTGCACTCTGCCAAAGCTTTCTAGGAGCTGCCCCATGCATGAGCTTGCTTGATGACAAATTTTGCTTTCTTTCTTTCTAAAGGTTGGTTGAAAAAATCCTTTCAGGACAGGGAAGGAAAGAGAGCAGGATCTCAAGTGCTCACCCCGCTTCCTCCTCAGCAAAGCCCGCACTGCAGGGAGCTGCAGGACACAGCTTTCAGTGAAAGCTGAAAGTAAAGCGTCAGCAAACAATTAGAAAGCAGGGAAAACAAAATACTAGAAACCGGGATATAGATCAAAACTGAACTCAAGCTGAGGTTAAGCATTTTCAAAGGTGTTCTGGTGTCCACAACCTGTTCACAGGTCTCTGCCCTCAGAGCACCATATTTCATTTTAAAGGTAGATCATGAGGCAGAACAAAGCACAGCATACCCAAAACTTAATAAAGTTACCTCCAGCAAGTCTCTACACTTCCTCTGTGCCCCGCAGGGGACAGAAATGCTACGGAGTGCTCACTCTGCTCAGTCACCTCAGCTGCAGCACCCACCGAGCCCTGGCTGCTCCGCTCTTGAGGAGAAACTCAACACCTGAGTGAGGTTTTAAATCTGGAAAGCACAGCACGGACATGAGCACTCCAAATATCAATACCAATTTACAAGTTCCTGTATTGACAGATACATCGATTTAGGCAGTTGTTAGGAAAAGGCTGACGGATCAATGCTAAGGTAAGCAGGTAATGCAGTTAAAGGTTCGCTCAGAAACGGGCTCGCCAGAGGAACAGAAGAGGCTCCCCAGCACCAGACCCTTACCATCGCCAGGGCTGTGGGTGCTGCCTCCCCGCCGGGCTCCAGGATCCAGGGGTGCAGCCCCGCTGCCGTCCCGCCGAGTGCGAGCAGGATTTAATCATTAATGAGTCAAGGCGGAGGCAGGAGCTGTGTGGCTGAGCAGCACAGGGGGCAGTGGGAGGGTGGGGCTGCTCGATGTGCGCCGAGGGAGCTGCAAATAACACTTCCACCTCACAGGGATCCGCTGGGAAACTGCCCGGGGCGGATGGAGGCGTACGGAGGGAGAGGGCACTGCTCCCCACCCCATGCCCTGGGAGATGCCCGGGGGCTGCAGGAGGGCAGAGCTGGCGGCTCGTTCCTGCTCACACGCAGTCACCTTCAGCCCTGGAGCAGCCTCTCCTACTGCACCCAGAGACCGACACAGCAGCTGCGGCAGCTCAGCGACTTCCCACGGCTCGCAAACCAATTAAACAATACATTTAATTCTATTACAACACTAAAGAAGAGTACTTAGTTTTCATACAGCAACACATCACCACTCCAAAGCTCGCTGCTTCATTCAGCATTGCGAGATAGAAATTATTGGTAAAGATGAAAATATGATAAATACTGCTAGTGCAGAATGACCCAGCTCCATGGTGATTGATGTTCCTGAACTATCTCATTCCACTCCCACCACAGGCAGGGACACCTCCTACTAAACCAGGTTGCTCCAAGCCCCATCCAACCTAGCCTTGAACACCTCCAGGGATGGGGAAGCCACAGCTTCTCTACCCTTTTTTCCCCCTTCCCCTTTATTGTGATGTATTTCACTGTCAGCAAACATTAACCCTATTAAGAGATATAAAAAGCTGTTGTAGCTTTTCTATGCAGATAAGGCCAACAGATCAGCTCATATTTAAGCATTACAGAAGCTGATTTAAAATCCCAACACTGATTTAAAGCTGATTTAAAATTCCAATTTAAAAAGCCAACCCTGGCTTCTCATTTACCAGCTTTTAAATATATTGTCCATTCAGGCAACTGCTGTTGCACTGAAGGATAAAGTGGGGCTGAATAAATGGAGCGTTTCTTCCTTCCCACTGCAGTAACACCTCAGAGAACTGGCGGGGGAGCAAGAAATGCTCCTTAATGTCCTTTCCGTAGGGTTACATTTGTGCCAGATTTACAGCTCTGTGGCTGTTGCATCGGCTCATTGTGTTTCTGAGCACGGGTTTCTAACCCTTGGTTATTCTGAGGCTCTCCCAGTCACATGAGCTGGCACCTCTAATTCCACTGCCTTCAGACAGCCCTATCCCTAAGGAACACCTGGTCTGGGGGTCTCAGCAGAGGTTGCCAGAGAGGTCTGTGCCCAGTGCTCCCTGCCTGGTGCCATGGGCCGTGCCGGCAGCTCCGGGCACTGCTCCCGGCACAGCAGGCTGCAAACGTGCTGTCCTGCTGGGAAGGGTTCAGCGGGGGCTGAGCCAACCTCAGCACGAGGAACCAGAACAGAACCCAACAGCTCAATGGGGTAACTTGTAACGGCAGCACTGGGGCCCCTGAACGGGCCCAACGGCCGGGCTGAGCACACCAGCAGGAGTTCCCTGCATTTCCCAACAGGGAACAACCCAAACACCAGCTCCAAAACCACTGAAGACCAAAAGGACTGTCAGGTTCTGTTTCTCGGGCAGTTGTTGGTTGGTTTGTTTGTTTGTTTTTAAACCAGTGTAGTACTTAAAAAAGTTAGGGGCTCTTAAGCAATGGATACTGATGAAGCCCTGACTGCTGCAGGTGCTTTGGGAATGATTTATTTCCTCTTCCACTCACGAGTGTGAACAGGCTGCACACACTCAGGAAAAATAACCCAGAATTATTGAAGATTCGGTATCTTTTATGCAAAAGAAAAGCAGGATACACGAAGTACATGGCCATGGTTTGATTGTCTTAAACCAACAGCCAACCCCCGTATTCATGCGTCAAAGTTTTAGGGTTTATATTTAGCACACAAAACATTTACACACAGGTTATTTGTTCCACACAGAAAGCTGAACTCTTTTTCAAACCTATAAAGCTACTAAGCTAATTTTACTTTAACAAGATCATATGTAAAAACTACCAAACAATTTTAAGGACAATTAGAACACATAGTACATGACCTATCAGATAAGGAGAGCATGGACCATGCAGCAGTGCTATTGTAAGGCTGGGACCTTCACAGCTTCCCTTTTCCTGATGAAAATCCAGTGCTGGTTTGTTGCACTATTTCCTGCTAGTTCAAGGATTAAAGAAAGTGAGTATGAGCAAGACAGGTGCTTTTTAAAAAAAAAATTTAACAATCCCCCCCCATACCCCAAAACACTTGCACAATTTTTCGGCCACTGGGTTTCCAAGTGCTTCCCTGGAGCCTTGCTGGGTAGGGACAGCAGCCCCAGCCCAGCCACTGCCTGCGATGGGTGGGTCCCACCAGCTGCCCGGCACCTGGTCCTGGTGCCCCCATTCATCCCATCACCCCTGGCAGCAGCAGGGCCTTGCTGGCACATCCCATGGGAAACAGGAGCCGTGAGGGACAGGGAGAAAGCAGCCACCAAGTGCCTCCCATGTGCCCACAGTGACCTGGCCCACTGGCACATGCCTGTGGTATGAAGGTGTTGTGATAGGAAGAAAGAAGCGGCAACAGAGACAAGACACCAAGTGCCAGAGGCTGCAGGGCCAGGAGGGGAAGCCCAGGGCAGTTCCAGCAGGTTTGAGGCTCAGACAGCACTGGAAGAATGCTCAGATCAGAATCAGACTCCGGTCCCAGCACTGCAGAGCATTGCAGAGCACCTTGGCCATGGCACACAGGGCCGAGAGCTGGCACAGCCCCGCGCCCTCGGCCACGCCTGGCAGACGTGGGGCGGCTCAGAGGTTCTCCTTCAACCACTGCATGTATCTGTTGAAGAGCCGGTGCCCCACGGCCAGCTCGTAGGGCCACGAGATGAACAGGAGGGCCCCGTGGAAGGCGTCCTGCGCGTGGTCGTGGGTGACGCTGACGCCGGCGTTGCGGAGCCGCTGCGCGTACATGGCACCGTCGTCCCGCAGCACGTCGTGCTCGCAGGTCAGGATGTAGGTGGGGGGCAGCTGGCGCAGCCGGGCATCGCTGCCCAGCAGCGGGGCCGCCCGCGGGTCCAGGAACCCGGGGTAGCGCCGTGCCAGCGCCGCGCTGCCCGGCCTGGGGGCCGCGTACACGTGCCCCTTGCGCATCCCCGCGGGCAGCAGCCGGCTCCAGTTCACAAACTGCAGCAGGTGTCCTGCCTCAGCGGGGACGTGCCTGTTGGAGGCCATCGCCTCCCTCAGAGAGGGGTCTGACGTGAAATACTCGCTCCAGAACCTGACCATGAGCAACCTGGACAGGAGGGGCTTGTTGGCGTTGTCTCGGTAGGACGGCAGATCCAGGTCCAGGGCCTGCAGAGCAGGGTAGAGCAAAACTTGGGCTTTGAGCTTCGTTTTGACTTCAGGGTCCTCCAACAGCTGTAGAAGAAAACAGATAATTTCAAAGAGTCAGTGAAAGTGCTGGCTCTCCCACACTGACAGAAGATCTGAAGTAAGGAAATAAGACACTCATTTCACAACATGAGCAAAATAAAATCGATAAAACCAGGACAGAGTAAAGAAATTCTGAATCCATAGGTGGGTCACCTAAAACAATGTGCTGTGCTAAAAATTCACAAACATCAAATACAATTTCATTTTATTTCTTATGTTGAAGGATAACGATATTTGGGAAATACTCTTTTGGAGGCTTTAATACTTTCTGAAGTAGTAACCGATGTTTTTTCGATAACTGCAGAAATTTTCTGTTCTTATATCATGAAAATTTCACATTTCTGAATCTCCTTTAATAATTTCCCACAATTTGGAGCTTATCCGCTGGTTGGTTTTTAGCCCTGAGGTGTTACAACTCAAGCAACTGCAATTCTGTGCATTTTAGAGATGTGACAAATAAAATGTGATGAATTGAACACTAACATTTCTTATATGTCATTCTTTTCCCCTCTTCACTAATAAATCTTCCATTTTCTCCCTCATCTTCTGCCTTCAGCATCCACAGCAAATTCACCAGTGTTCCCAGTGAGATCCATTACAATCCAAACAAGTTCTCAAGAGAGCAACAGCATGATGTTGGCTTTTTTTTTAATAATCTTGAGTGAGAAGTGCAAAAGGCACTGAACTGTGTGATCAGACACTGGAACACTTAGTGATGGTTTTTTGTTTGGTTGAGATTTTTTACCCTGCTATTTACATCTTTATGAGCCAAATTGTTAAAATTCCCTTTTCAAACACCATACCTAGACCAGTCAATATGTGCTTAAGGTTAGCATGATGTATGCCCCAATTAGAGGGCAGAGAGCCTTATTTAGGGTATAAAGGTCCGGATGACACCAAAGCTCCTCTGCTGCCCTTGAGTGGCTCAGGCACATTGGCTCTCGTGGGCTGTGGGATGTCCTGTGTGCACAGACCGCGAGAGCTGCACGTGCTTTGAGCTGAGGTGCTTGTTAGAGGCCGTGAAATGACAAAAATAACTATTCTGAGCTTGCAGCCCAGGCTTTAGTCGTACCTGTTGTGCCACAGCTGCAGCCAGGTTGCCCCCAGCGCTGTCCCCTGCGACACAGACCCGTGCAGGGTCCACCCCGTACTGGGCCAGGACACTGCTCTGCAGGAAGAACTTGGTCGCCGAGTACACGTCTTCAAAGGGCACCGGGAAACGGTGCTCAGGGGCCAGCCTGTAGCTGTGGAGGCAAGAGAGGTGTGTCAGTCCCTGCTATTAACAAAGAGAGGGGCTCGCTGATGTCTGCCTGAGCTGGGGCATGTTTGTTATTTCTGCGCCCAGAGAAGTGGGAACAGTCTATTCAGGACAGTCCAGTATTCCAGTACCTCCTATCTTCATACAGCCAAAATAGCCACCAACCACAATTCACCACTGCCACCCTGATGGCCTCGGTTCACAAGTGCTTATAGCCAGCAGGAAGACACATGACCAAAGACAGAGGTATTGCAAAATTATATTAATTGAAACAAATTAATTTATTCCAAACCCTCATCCCATCTGGAAGGAGACTCTCTCTTACTTGACTGACACCACGACAGCATCCAGCTCGTTTGAAGTTCGCCGTGAGGTGTGATCGTAGGATTTCATGCCTGAAATGAAACAAGTCACTGGAATACACCCCAGTACTTGTGAGAACGGACACACACACAGCCTGATGCTCCTCTTGGCAGAAGCTTTCAGGTGACTTTCCCAAACCTCCACCTGCTTTTAACTCTTGACACACCAGTTCCCTGACCCTCCCCTGTGGTAAGTCCCATAAAACAAAAGGCAGCGCTTGACACGGGCTGTTGAGATCTTCCACAGACCCCTGGCACCAAGGGAAAAGCACTTACCTGCGTCTCCCAGGCACCACCCCCCGCCATGGAAGTAGACCATGGCCCTCCTCAGCCCGTCAGGTGCCCTCTTGGGCAGGTACAGGAGGACGGGGACGTTGTTGAACTCGGTGTCTGTCACAGTGACGTTTTCATCGGATGTGACCATGACGGTCTCCATAGCTGTGATCAGCCTCATGCCCTTCATGTAGTGCACCAGCCCCAGCAGATCCAGCACCGCGGACTAAAGACAAGGGCAAACAGTGCTTTCAGTGCAGCCTCAGTTACTCTCAGATTAAATCTCCACGAAGGCACTCGATGCTCTGTGCAAGCCCGTGAAGTTGCTGTGCAGGTCACGACAGCAACAGGCCCGGGTGTGTCCGTCTGATGGGAGCTTGGCACTGAAAGGAGCACTCGGTGCCGGTCGCTCACTCTGTGTCACTGCTGCCCAGCTGGGGCAGAGCCCAGCGCTGGCACCGGGGCTGCTGCTTTGTACCTGCACTCAGACTCGTGCTCAGTGTTTATGTGGGTCACCTCCACAGCACACTGACCAGCTCAGTGACCCACCAGCACAGGGATCGTGCCACAGAGAGCCACCAACAGCCACCCACAGCTCCTGTGCCTGCCACAGGCACCAGCATGGCGTGGGAATGGCACTACTGGCACCAGCATGGCGTGGGGGTGGCACAGGGATCACACTGCACAGAGCCACCCACGGCCACTGTGCCACTGTCAGAAACAGTAGCCTGGCTCCTCCACCACTGCCCCAGGTGACATGACACGACCCACTTTCCACCCCAGCCTCCTCCCTGCCTCATCACATCACAACAGAAACAGTTAAGTAACAAAGCCAAGTTCTTACACGTTATCTGAAGGTACAAACAGACGAAACTCAGAGCAGGTTTGAGTTTAAAAAGAAATAAAACAGCCGAGCCTGGTGCAGGCTGTTGGAATTTTGGCTTCCAAGAGATGCTTTATTCTCCTCAGAAAGAATGTGAAGCCCTCCCACTGTACTGGATCACCTGCTGACAGGTGTAAGCTCTAGCATTCAGACTTTGATGGTGTAAGTCAGACAGTCTGACCCTGCTTGGTTTGCTTGCTGTATTTTTTTCCCAAGAGCACAGAGCTCAGCCCTTACTTACAGTACCTGACAGCCATTGTCACCACATTTTACCAGTCACCTCTCTCTGAAGGCTTGGAGCAGGTGGTGCCAGGAGGAGCCCTGCCAATCCCAGTGAGTTGGAATAGGGATGGAGATGAGTGGGCAGTCCCTGGCACACCACAAAGGGAAACACAGGTCCTTGCCTTTGGCTCCACAAAAACAAACACTCGTGTGCCAGAACTGCAGTTTTAGCCACAACATTTACATAGTTTATGTAAATATTTCTCAAGTGTTGCCTTTCCCCCCAGGATTAGTGTCTTGAAAAAACAAATATATCTGTCAAAGTGAGCCCTGCTGTGATTCCACTGAGCTTGTGAAACCCCCATGGTGAAAGGAATTCCCTGAGCCCCAGCACTGAGGATTTTCAGCGCTCACAGTTGTGTTTTCCACAACTGGACAATCTGCATTGTAGAAAACCACTGAGCTGCTGCCTGCGGTTTCCAGGCCATTATCCTATGGAAATCAAAGGAAATCATGCTCTCATATGAAAATCCTCATTGTCCCAGTGTGAGATTACAGGGTGTCACAGGTTAACAGGAAAACCAACCACTTTGGGGTTTGGGATCCTCATGCATTTTCCACAGTCACTTCCTCCCTCTTCCATAAAGGAGCAGGGCAGAAAGAACAAAACTCCCAAATATATGTGCCTGGGCAGGTGGAGCACCCTCACGACTTTCAGCAGCTGAGTTATCCCAAGGGGTGATGCTCTCGATGGGACACTCTCCAGAGAAGGTCCCCATCAGCCTGCAGGGACACAGGCAGTTTGTGAGTGGGGCTGGAAAAGGCTTGAGTCTGGGTTTCAGTGCTTCTGAGGAGTGGGGCCAAGGAGGGAGGGAGCTTTGGGAGGACGTCACAGAACCACAGCAAAGACATTGAGTTGCACTTTATACTTTCTTCACGTTTCAACTGAGGGCATGGAGCACTTCCTAAAACACCTGAAGCATTTTCTGCTCAAGCACCAAAGCAAGTGGCTGGTGCATTGTTGGAGGCTGTCCCCCAGCTCGGCAGCACGGGGCCATGGGACATGGACAGGCAAAGGGAGATATTCCCAGGCAAAGGCAGACATTCCCAGCCTCCCTGCTGCAGTGGGACCGGCACAGAGGGGCAGGCTGGGCACACCCTGGCGGGGGTGCTGGGCTGGGGGCTCCCCAGCACCCACCACAGCACAGGGGAGGGAGATTTGCCACTTCGTGGTGCTCTTGACACATCCTTTTGTGAGCTCAGAGAGGACTCTGCTGCTCAGGAGTGCTCAAGGGCAGCAGTTTGCTCCCTGTGTTCAAACTCAAAGACTAAAGCAGGGTCCCCTCTGCAGACCTACCACAAGTGACCACGAGTCACTGCCCTGTAAGCACTGTGGGGAACGGGCTCAGGCTTCCCAGGCAGCTGGGACAGCAGCTCCAGAGACGCCAGCTCCGTGTGCCAGTGACAACACATGATCCACCAGCACACAGACAGCACTCCTGCACTGGCGCTGCTGTGCCAAGGGCGACAGTCTGACCCAGCCAGCGGGTCTGGGGTGCACAGGCACTGAGCTCCCTGGGCACGGACCCTCCTTGCAGGCCACTCCAGCAGGAGATTTGGGAGAGGAAGCAGCAACACAGCACATCAACAGTGTAGACTACAGATTCTTTCCCACCCCTTTAAATCTCCCACTACCTCACCCCCCCAAAAAAAAGAAATAAAAAAAAAGAGAGAGGGCAGCAAAGAGTCCATGATACACACCAAAAAAACCCTCATCCCTCACCCCTGCTGGCTGAACAACCCTAATAAAGTCTCCCCTGCTGACAAGGGCTGCCTCACAGCTCTGGACATCAACAGTGGCTTTTAGGTACACTCCAGAGTGATGTTTAGGAGACATCCCAAAAAGCTGTGTACCCTCGTCTCCACTAGAAAATCATAAATGCAGTGTCTCTCAAGGACTTCTGAGAATCACGCCCTGGTATTGCAACTGGAGTGACAGAAAAGGCAAAACCAAACTAGTGCCCTTTGGAGCCAACAGCCCGGGTGCTGGTGGCTGCAGCAGCCCAGCCTTCCAGCAGCATCCCCCCAGCAAACCCAGCAGCTTCTCTCCTGGCTCCTCAGACCCCTCTTTTAACAGATTTTATTGTGCAAAAAGAAAAGCAGCCTCACAACATTTGTAGCCACCCAGGAAGATGTTTGCAACATTCAGCCCTCTTCCTCCCCCCAAACCTTCATCTTTGACCTTGTTTTTAGGTTTCAGTCACGCTGCTGCAGCCACATTGTACAGCAAGGACAGCCTGGGTTCAAACCAGCTCCCAGTTACTGCACCTCAGAGGTGGGAGCTCCAGCACCATTATTTACACACGATGTGCAGCTTCACAGACCACTTCCACGTGCTGGAAGGGTCTGTAACGTGCCTGAAGTGAAGCAGAAACCAGGGATGTCATACATGTTAAAATAGCACAGAGGGACACACAGACCATGCTGGCAATAAATACTGGCTTAGAAGCGCAGCCAGGGTGTAACACCAGCACCTGTCCAGGCTGTGACACACAGCTCTGCACTCAGGAGCTAGAGACCATTTTACATAGGCAAGATCACGGTGGTATTAAAAGAAGTTTTATTTTTATGTATCTATGGCTTAATCTCTACGTGCTCTAGCACTATCACCCCTATAATTACTTTGGTGTAGTTTTTAGGCTCATTCTGTCAGTAGATTTTCATGAAATCACAAAAATCAGTAGTATTTAGGAGCAGCTCTAGTTTTCCCTCCCCTGACACCCAACACTGCCAAGGGATCTCAGTACACAGGGGCTGAGAAGCAGAATGATTCGAGCAGTAGTGCTTCAGCTGCACAGGACTGTGAAGCAAAAGAAACTCATCTGTGCTTGTCAGGCTGTGGTCACACCCAACATCATATTCCAGTTACTCCAAATGGCCTTTTCTCAAGACTGCACAATTAAATCTTTTCTATTCTTAGATCTATCATAGTTGCAGTAAGTTTAATGCTGAGTTTCATCTAATACAGTCCTTCACTGAGTATACTACCACAGACATACAACACATGCAGTATGACACCTGTGCATTGCCGTGTCTCCACGAGAACCCCCCTGCTCCCCAGCCCTGCCCACTCACCAGGTGCCCCACGGCCCTGAAGGGGGCACAGAGGACCATCACTTTCCAGGGCTGTGCCAGCTCCGCGGGCATGGGGGTGTAGATGTAGTAGGCGAGCAGGGCTGGCAGGAGGCAGAGGCAGAGCAGCTTGGCCCCCATGGCTGCGGAGAGCAGCTCTCACCGGCTGCGAGCGGCCGCAAGTCAGCACAGGGCAAAGTTAATCCCGTGTTTTGTTTGAGTCCCGGCCAGGGAGTGATTTCTCGTCGGATCACACGGGGCAGAGGTTACTCCCCTTTGCGGCTCCCAAGAAAACATGTTTCCCCAGCAAGGCGTGCAGCCCTGGGAGTGACCGAGCTGGCGTGCCCAGCCCGGATTAAGCAGTGAGGCTGCACACTCAGCACCCCGTCCCTGCCCGCAGCGGCCAGCCCCAGGACTCTGCAGGGGAGAGGTGTGAGAAACGAGGAGCAGGATGTGGCTGGGAGCTGCACACGGTGACACCCAGATGTAAACACATGGGTTGGACATTCAGGAGCCACTCTGGAGGGCGGCAGCTCAACCAGAGCCCTGGGCACAGCTCTGCCCCCCGGGGCAGCGGCTCGACAAGAGCCCAGCTCACAGGGATGCCTGGTGGGATCAGCCCATGGCAGCAGCTGACCCACTGCCACTCCTCGGGCAGGAACCGGCACCTCCTGCCCTGGCAAAGACACCTTTGGCTCACACAACACACCAGCCCCTTGTGCAATAGTAAGGTTGGCAGATAAAACAGTCTTTTACAGGGCAGGGCTTCTGGCTAATATTTGACAGATCAGATTTAATTGCCACTGTTCTCAGCATTAAGAGATTTCTATGCATCTCCCAGAGGCTGCCACTTCTGCAGAGGGTGGGCGGGGAGGAGTCAATTCAAACAGGTAATAATTTCACCAAAGAAACACCACAACTGCAGGCACACACACGAAGGGGGGGGGTGAACAGAACAGCTGCAGCCCCAGGAACCCTGCTTTAGAGATAATTGAGGGGTTTTACCTTTTCAGTTTAAAATTTGAGTTACTTCTTTTGCTGAAGTTCTACCAACAGCAAAGCACCACATCCCTGTGCCCTCACACTGAGCAGCCCGTGGGGCTGGAGCATCCACTGGGGGAGCAGAGCACAAAACATCACAGAAGGCTTCAAGATGAACCATGTGCCACCAGCCTAAACACAGAGCAGAAGCAGACCTTAGTCAAACTTTCAGACATTTGCTTTAAGCTCTGGGTACCTCCAAACTATTCAAGTCTTTTTAAACTCCATCTGTGCTCTCCTCCTCAGTCAGGACAAGACACCCTGTGCTCCCTCCTCAGTCCTTCTGCAGCACAGCAGCTGGTTAAACACAATATTCTTGACCCACTCCAGCAAAACCAAGAGAACACGGCTCTGTGGTCACTTCACCTGCCCTGGAGGCCACACCAGGTGCTGAGAAAAGGGACAGGTGAGCCCAGCCTGGCACAGTGCCTGGGTTCCAGCAGCAGACTCCTGTGTACACACAGGGCTGGACACAGACCAGCAAACCCATCTTCTTTTTTGCACAGCTCAGACCTTTTCTCAGGGGCTCTGAGGTAAAACACAGGTAAAGGAACCAGATTTCAGGTCACACAGGAAGAGAAGGCACAGCTTGGTGATGGGGAATGGAGGACAAAGCCCTCTCCTGCCCTGCCCCTCACCAGCAGTGGCAGGAGCTCCCAGGACAGCTGCTCTGTGTGACCACTGCTCTGGCATGGGAAAACAGGACAGGGGAAGACATGGCCAGACCTGGAACCACCACAAAACTGGTGCCTTATTTTGTTGCACTTAAGGAAGGTTCCCCCTCTCCTTCCATGCTGGTCTCAAGCTAGAAGCACAGCTGTGCAGTGGCAGCCTGGGCTCTGCTCTGTCCCTGCCCTGAGGTCACCTTCAGCTTAGGCAGGAGCTCGCAGTGCTTAGCCTTCAGAGACCAACATCTCATCTGCTGGCAGATCCAGCCCTCTGCCCTCCAGTGAACTGCCCCAGCAGCCTTCCCTAACCCACAGCACTCCCAGATAAAGGGAATCATGAACTAAACTCACCATTTACCCAAGGGAACCCTAAAGCATCACATGTAATATGGGAATGCCCTGATGCCAATTTTATTAGATCTCTTTCAGTCAAAGGGGCCAGCTGGGACAGCACAAGACCCCTCTTGGACAAGGGATGGGGTGTCAAATGAAACACGTGATCATTAAACTCCAGCTCAGTGCCATGCAGTGATCACCCTCAGTGCCACACCCAGCACCAGCCTCCACACTGCCAGCGCTCTCCAGAGCCAGCACCAGCACCCACCACTGCTGGTTTGCTGCATATCACCTACTCTCCCACTGCTCAGAACTTTCTAAAGCAAACAAACACTTGGTTTAGTCTTTTCCCTCTTTATTTAATTTCGTTAAATAAGGTTGAACAGGGCTTGGAGCAACCTGGTCTAGCAGAAGTTGTCCCTGCCCATAGCAGGGGGTTGGAATGAAATAATCTCTACGATCCCCTCCAGCCCAAACAATTCTATGATTATATGATGATGAAACCCCATTTTTCTGCTCTTCCTCCTCACAGCATACCAAGAGCCATGCAGCATGCCCTCCTTGCCAACTTCTGCATTTCCATCTATTCCAAGCTACCGGCATTTCAGAAAAAAATTAATGCAAAGTTAAGCAGACTAAAGCCAAGTTTAAAACTGCAATGGGAAGAAGAGCAGCCAGCACATCACCCTGCCCAGAGCCAGCACCCCCTGAGCCCTGTGCTCCATGTCAGGACAGTCAGGGCTGGGATTGCCTGTCACCACATAGTGCTCAGCCATGGAGACACTGGCAGGGACTTGCTCAAGTGCTGACCTGCCACCTGAATAAGTCAGCTGGGCTAAAAATATCAGATTGAGTTTTCAAGGTGTGGTTTGGAAAGGAGAAATATGTGAGCTTATAACCTTACATCTTGGTTGTGACACTAACCAGGGTTTATAACTTACATCTGTTTGTATCAACAATCCCTCTGCAGCTCTCTTACACCTCTATTGCAGTTCCACTTGCTGTAATATCACAGCATTCCCAGCCCTTGCCTTGTCTGTCACAGAATCATTCTGGTAGGAAAAGCCCCCAGACCATCGAGTCCAACCCTTCCCCAGCACTGCCCAGGCCACCACTGACCCACGTCCCCAAGTGCCACAGCCACACATCTGTTAAATCCCCCCGGGGACGGGGGTTCCAGCACTGCTCTGGGCAGCTGTGCCAGGGCTGGGCAACCCTTCCAGGCAACAATTATTTCCCAATACCCAGCCTAAACCTGCCCTGAGTTTAGGTGTCCTGCATTGCCCCGTGAGCTGGGCACGTCCCTGGTGTGGCAGTGGCCGGACAGAGGGATGCTCCTGGCAGTGACAGCACCCCCGGGCTGCTCCTGGCAGTGACAGCACCCTCGGGGTGCTCCTGGCAGTGACAGCCCCCCCGGGCTGCCAGGGTGGCCTCACTGCAATAGGCAGGATTTCATTCCAATACAGTATTTTGGGAATGAAGGGAGAAGCCACAGGGAGGCAGTGCAGCCCTGTAGACGGTTTCCATTCCACCAAACCAGGGTACCCGAGGGCCCTCAAAACCCCATGAGGAACAGGAACACCAGTTCTGTCCGTCCTTCCCTCTAGGGAGGACAGGGACAGGCTGTGACTGTCACCTCAAGAACAGAGGAAAGGCCACAGCACAGCACTGCTGCCACTGAATGTTGTCCACATTTGCCTTTGCTCAGTCAAGTTACAACCTTGTAGTAAAAAGCAAAAATTACTTATTCTGCCCTTTAAAGCCTCTGATGAACACCCACTGACTGGTCAGTACAGTCAGACCAGCTGAGAACACCCTTTGAACCCTGAAACAGCTTTTGGGTTGATATTCAGAAGCCAGTACTACATTTCATATCACTTCACTAAGTTTCAGGTATTTCTGTTTCCTTTCTTCATTATTACTGTGTGTACTTTTTAATGGCATTTACAGGACTTGGAACTGGCCTGCTTTTACAAAACGAAATCCATAAGACATTTTATACAAGAGAATTTGGATACTGCTTTTCCATCTGTTGCTTATTACCAAATTGCAAGTTGTATAAATGGAAACAAATGTCTTATTTGACAATACATTCATACCCTGAACGGAGAAAAGCGATTCTCTGAAGCTTAAATAAGCTGAAGTTTAGCACATGCAGTGTTTCTGAACACGTGACAAAGCAGCAGCTCCAGAAACAAGACGGTTTCATGAAGGCATTAAAGTAGCCAATAAAACATCTCCCAACTCAGTCTGAATAGTACATTATCATCAGGATAAGAGGAGATTTGAAATAAGTCAGTGTTCTGCTTTGATGCTTTCAAAACATACGACTTTCTACTGTTTGGCAGGAAGGCAGCAACAGTTTTGCTCTTTACTGTTCCTCTCTCAAGTGAAGCAACAGGCTCAGAGGAGCAGAGCTGCTTCCTGGGTGCACCAGAGCCTCTCGCTCTGAACCAACCCAGCGACTGCTCTGGAGGCAGATCAGGACAGAAACCCCCTCACTGAGCACACAGAGAACCAGGATCTACCCACACTCCCAACCACCTCCACTGATTCCTGTCCTACCTTAAGTTTCAGAGGTCAAAATAAATTAAGAAACCCAGACTTATAGCAAGAATTCCATCCAGCTCACACCTCCCATTCCCAGCTTCTCAATGTTCACGCAGTTCCAGTGCTCACACGGTTTCCCATTTTTACAACAATAAGCACAATTCCTGAATTCAGGATCCAGCAGCAGATTGCTGGAGTTAGATTTGCCATCCCAGGGGAACAGAGACTGGCAGAGAAGGGACCTTGTAGACAATCAGCAGGAATCTTACACAAAATTGAAGCAATTCTGATAAAATGGAAGCCCAAGGCAGCCACCTGGGAAGGGGATTGACCACCTGAGGGACCATGAAGAGGAAGAGACATTTGGGAAATGTTTGCAGCATGAGAGGGTTTGGATTTGTTTACTCAAACATGCCTCTGACTTTGTGAATGTACACATGTATGCAGCAGAAACACATGTATGCAGCAGAAACACATGTTTAAAGCTTAATTCTGAAATCAGCAATGCTTTGGGATTGCAGAGTCACTGGGCTTGTAAAGGATGAGGAACAGGAGAGATGTTATCCAAACCAGAGGCTCACAGCTTCTCCAGCTGAGCTGGAATACTGCACAGGGACCAAGAGAAAGCACAGGGTCTGTTCTTCAAATTTACAACTTGATTCATAAACAAAGACATTAAATAAAATGGAACATGAAACAATACATGTTGAAAGCATCAGTCCTTGAGCCTTGGCTCTGGACAT